TGATTACTGCATACTGTTTGTGTAAAATGTACATTTGCATGTATATTATCAAGCAAATTACAAAACTAAATAAATACAACTATATATTGAAAAGTCATACATATAAAGTAAACTATAGTGGTAGCTGGTTGTTCATAAATTGAACAAACTTGTGTAAATGTGAAAATGGAAAAAAAAAAGTTTTGCCAAGATACAAGAATATCAGACTGTGGGATGATTTTGATTGGTTGAGGATTATGAGGCTGCCACATGAGCCATAAGGCGGAGTAAAGACCTGCTATCATCAAACAAAAAAGAGTTTGTGTGATGTTTGTCCCATTCAGCTCTGAGAAAGATGGAGCTCTGTGTATTTATGTTCATGCTTGCTGCGCTTGTTTCTTCTGAGAACAAAGGTAAGTCAGTGGATTATCACTAATCAATTGTTAAAAGACACCATTTGTATCATCTTTAACTGTATTCAAGGAATACTGATATGGAATATACGTCCTGAAAGGTTAAATCATTGCCATGAAAATATTTGTTTTGTATTAAGACAGAAAAATCTAATTTCAAAAATTGTAAGCAGTTTATGCTTCTGTAATTTTAATTAATAAAAATTAAGCAATTGTCAAAAATCATGCAAAATCAATGGTATAAATACATCTCATATTCAAACAGTCCTATATTTAAATTTCTCATGTAGTTTGTCTAGACTGATAATGTACTGTTATATTAAGCAAATACTTTTTTTTTCCCTGTTTCAGTTGTGCATGAAGATTTCACTTTATTGGGATGCTCTGATACAGAGAAAGAATATATGTTTGGATTGGATGGAGAGGAATTGTACCATGCAGACTTCATTAAAGGAGTAGCAGTAGCTACTCTACCTGACTTTACAGATCCCATCGGCTATCCTGGATTTTATGAGCAAGGCTTATCTAATGTGCAAGTTTGCAAAGCAAACTTAGCCGTAGCTATCAAAGCTTATAAAAATCCACAAGAGAAAATGGGTAGGATATGCATTTTAATTATATTTATTCAATTGTGTGTAACAACTGTAACAATTTGGTTTAAACAAATGGTTTAATTCTAAATTTGGTTTAAACAAATTGTATCTCAAATGCTTGAAATAATAACAGCATCCATGTCTTTGCCTGTGTTATCAGACAAACCTCAGACTTCCATCTATGCTGAGGAGGATGTGCAGCTGAATGTTGAAAACACCCTCATCTGTCATGTGAGTGGATTCTTTCCTCCACCTGTCAGAGTCTCATGGACTAAAAACAATGAGGCTTTAAAAGAAGACAGTCTAAGTCAGTATCGCCCAAATGATGACGGCACTTACAACATCTTCTCCAGTATGCCGTTCACACCTGAAGAGGGAGACATTTACAGCTGCACTGTGAACCACGTAGCTCTCGATGAACCTCAGACCAAAACATGGGGTGAGTGTGTGGTTTTATAGAATCACTGGACTTACAGATTTCTATTATTTATTGATTTCTAATATTTATTTATTACTTATTTTCTATAAATAATGAATACAAATATGTATATATTCAAATAAAATGTATTATTGATGTGAAAGAGAAGAGTAGCAGCCTAAAATATACAATTTACATTGTGGAGATATAACATTAATAAAGTCTACATTATTAAAAATGCTTAAACAAAATGGTTGTATATGTGTGTATCCTAGAAGTGGACGTTGCTGTGCCCGGTGTTGGTCCAGCAGTGTTCTGTGGAGTGGGTCTGTCTCTGGGGCTGCTGGGAGTCGCTGCTGGAACTTTCTTCCTGATTAAAGGAAACAACTGCAACTGACATCCCAGATATGGAAGCAAACTTTAATAAAAGAAATTGTATATAGTGTGTAACAGGTCCTCCAAATAAAGCCAGTTTCACTTGGCTCTAATGAAATTTAAAACCGTAATTCTGAGCATCATTCTGTCACATCACATTGATGACAGGAAACGTCTTAGATGTTATATAGAAATAGATTCATAGACACATAAATTTCAATATAATCTTTAACAACATTAATAATGCCTGATATTTCTAATAATGCACCAATGAGGCAACATCTTTGTTTGAAATGTAACACCATACACTTACATACAGATGTCTAAAAGGCTTTAAATGATAGATGATCTTTTTGCTAATACATCTTTTCAGCTCATCCAGAGTGATATTGGACTTTTAATTTGAATAATTTTATCTGTTAGTTACTCTCTGGTTGAGCTCTTATTGTCTTCCTCATTGCTGGATCAATTCAAGTCTTTTTCAACAAACATTATGGCATTCTTAAAAATGTGCTTGAAAATAGTGTAGACATTTTTTGTAAATTTTGGAATTTCCTGTCATTGTAATCAATTTGAAGTTATCAATTTTACAAGGTCTTGTACGTTTTCTGACATACACTCCAAATAAAGATTCTCTGTTTTGATTTCACTTGTGATTTTATATTGTGTTGTCATCTATATAACTGTTCCAAGGCAAAGTAACCTCAAAAGCCTATTAAGGCTGTCCATAAAACAGCAGACAGATGGCTGTATGTGTTGAAAGACAGGAACAGACGAGAATAGAATAGACCAGAGGATCAAAAATATATTTTAGAATATATTATAATATAGAATATATTTTTTATAATATAATAATATATACTATTATTTAGAATATAGCCAATATCTACATGTATGCTTTTGGCAGACGCTTTTATCCAAAGTGACTTATACTGTATTCAAGGAACAAATATTATCAGTTCTTGCTTTCCCTTGACTTTGTCATTGTTAGCACCATGCTCTTCTGTTTGAGCTACAGGAAGGCTAAGTTTCTCTAGAAATAGTTTAGATCTCTTCATTAAAAATACAAAATAGTGATGATAATAGTGATAATACAGGGAGTTAACTAAGGTTGGGGCCACACCTCAACCAGTCACAATGGTGTACATTGATAACTAAATCTTCAATAAAGATGTGTACATACAGTTCAACAGCACTGTGGGGGAGTATGTGGGGTACACTGCACATGGAGTATATAACGCAGAGTTATGGAACAAAGATCCCAACCAGCTGCAGCAAGAGAGAGCTGAGCTGGACAGATTCTGCAAACATAATGCTGAAATTGATTACAGTACCATTTTAAACAAAGCAGGTAAGTGGCACAAGATTCTGATCTCTCCTGTTACACATGAAACTCTTGTTTTAAATGTTTACACTAGATACTTTTACACGACAGTTTGATAATTTTATAGATTTTTTTAAAACTTCAACTGACAGTCTTCAACTTTTTAACTGACATTTTAAAATGTCACAAGATAAAAAAACAAAAACAAATGATTATGTTTTAATTTTTGTTTGCCCTTAGAAATACACTCCCAAACACAAAAATACAATAATATTTATGAAACTGTATAGTGCACCTTGCATGTAATGTAATGCATGGGATGTGCCCTTAAGATGTTATTGTTAACTTCCGAAAAATGTACTTATATCAGGCCACCCCTTACAGAACTGTTTGTCTCATTCTCTCCGAACCCACCCTTCACCTCCCTCTCATCCATTCAACCATCGTTCCTATCCCCTCTTCCCTTCCCTTCCAGGTTGCATCAGGGGTCCTAATCGCTTGGCCTTCATATAACTGAGATGATACCCACACCCCGAGTCTCTCCGTGCCACTAACACACCCAGATCAAACTGACTATCGTCCTATTTCCCCTTCATCCTCTCCCTATTCATTCCTAACATTATATTCAATATATGAATTCTTCAACATTCATGGTTTTGGCATGGACTTTGCTTGTGAATAAGACATTAATAAAGCAATAATGAAAAATAAATGATTACACATGATATGCATTCTTTTTTGTAAACACTTGAATGTGGGTAAGTTTACTGAAAGTATACTTTCCTATTTTTAGTTTAAAAGATGTATACTAATAGCACACTTGAATAAACTTTTTTTTCGTAAGGGAGGTGAAAAGATACTGTACCCTAGTGAAAAAAAAAGTATACTAAGTATACTTGCAGCCAGACTAATTGTCAGTTATGTTAATAACTGTATGTTATTGATTAGTATGTTAATGATTAGTTAACTTGAAGTGTGCTATTTTGGAACAACTATTTTTTGTACGAAGTGTATTTTAGTTGTAATTAATACTATAAATTTATTATTTTTGAGTAAATATATGCAAATTTTTCTCCAATGCTGAATCCACTTTAAGGTCATTACAATAAATACATAACTTCAATGACAGACAGAGACACATTATTAACAATTCAAACAGTGTTTATTTAAACCTCAAATGGTTTTAGCATTGCAAAACATAAAATGCACCAACCATGTTTTTAAATAAAAAGAACACTGAAAGAAACAAACATAAAAAAATAAAAACATTTAGCAACAGCAGCAACACACAAACATCACTTTTTTACTGAATTTGATTTTGATTTTTTTTTTAAACTGTTATATTTCACATTCGCAATTGAATCCTCCTTTTGTACCCGTGACAATAATGTTATATCATGCAAATCTATGCATAGATTTATACTTGCCTGGATATGAGAATTAGACCAATCACTCCTTCTGTATGCTCATCAACTCACACTCAGGCTTATTCTACAGTGAATCCAAAGCCTTCCTGTTAATAGAAACATGTGTTCATAAAACTTTGCTTTTTAACCAACAAATTACAGATTGTTTGAGCAAAAGAAAAGATACTGGAATTAACTATAAGTTGAATACCATCATAAAGAAGCGTAACAACACTTTTACTAACACTTTCTATTCACACTTTTCAAAATTAGTCCTATAAAACACAATCGCTGATGGCAACAGGTGCTTTGGGTTAGGTAGTATGTTAGCTTAGCGACAAAACAGACAATTAATGAGATTAATGAGATGTTATTGCTCTAAACTCTCTCTATTATGTCAGTCGAGTGTTTGAAAGAGCAGAAACTAGAGAAACTAGCGACTATGCGATTGTTTTATTTAGTAA